GACCTATACAATTTTTTTTCCTTTTTTCTTTTTTATATACAGAGGTACACAAAGCAAAGCAGGTCCTGAAGAGCCAGCTGAATGGTAACAGTCCAGGTGTCCTCACAGTCATCAAGTACACCAGTGATAGAACAGGCTGGTTGAAGGAGGAGACAGAAACATCAAAACCAGGAAGCTCCTTTCAATACATGGATGGTTTCATCCCAAATCCAGCTCCTTAACAACATACTCCAAGAAAAACGAGGGAGACATTTATTTGTTCTTTTGTGCTTTTATTTATTCATGCCCGTCTTTTTGTTCCTTGTATGCTTTTTATATTAAACCATCTCAGTTTGAGTCTCAGAGAATGTCCTTCCTCCACAAATGGTGGCAGGTCCCTCAGCACAAGAGCAATAGAGGCCAAGGTCTACCGTTCCAGACAGGACCAGAGATGCAGGCTGTGCAAAGATTCTCCTGAGACAGTTCTGCACATATAACACGATGTATRGCAGGCAAACCGTACATGGAACATCAAGTGGCTGGAATAGCAAGTGCAGCTCATAAAATTAAAATGTGAAAGTTCAACATTTTTGTCAATCAGACCAGAAAGATTCATTACACATAGAGTGAAATATTTCAAGCCTTTATTTTTTGTAATTTTGATGATTATGGCTTACAAATAATCAATCAAAATTCAGTGTCTCAGAGAATGGGGTATACAACATAGCCAGCTTCTGCTACTTGTGGCAGTGTGGGCCACTACGACCAACRCTGCCAAAAGTACAGGGGTTAGCTGGTACTTTCTCTACCCCCACTTAAATGAAGAAATCTGAAGTGACATCAAAAAGAAGGAACATGAGAAGCTCTAGAAATACCAAGGGCTGAAAGAGGAAATGGAGAAGTTGTGGAGAGTCAAGGTCTCAGTGGTGCCGGCAGTCTTCAAAGCACTCAATGCTGTGACCCTCAAACTGAAAGACTGGCCTCAGCAGATCAGGAACAACCTCAGAGATCTCTGTCCTGATKCCTACAGTCCTAGGAACAACGAAGACACTGAATGGATAGAGGACTGGAGTTTGAAGTGAAAAGTGTAAACTGACCTTGTGGGGAGAAAAGGAGAAGCTCAGAGTATTACACTGCCTGACCAAAAAAAGGCTACACACTAATATTTTGTTGGACCGCCTTTAGCTTTGATTACAGCACACATTCTCTGTGGCGTTGTTTGGCTAAGTTTCTCACAAGATTTATTTCCATCCAATGTTGCATTAATGTTTCACCAAGATCTTGCATTGATGATGGTATCTGACCTTCTCCAGCACATCCCAAAGATTCTCACTGGACTCTGTGGAGTCGATCCATGTGTGAAAATGATGTCTCATGCTCCCTGAACCACTCTGTCACATTTCCAGCCCCATGAATCCTGGTATCGTCATCTTGGAAAAGTCCGTGCCATCAGGGAAGAAACAATCCATTGATGGAATAACCTGCTCATTCAGTATATTCAGGTCAGCTGACCTCATTCTTTAAGCACATACTGGTGCTGAACCTAGACCTGACCAACTGCAGCAACCCCACATCATAGACCTYAGTTAAATCCAGGTGGATACTTTTTATTTGGCCAGGGCAGTGTATTTATACAAAGTCAGCTCCAACACTTCAACTTTTCAGTAAAATATAATTGTTCTAAACTGAGTAGAACCTGAAGTGCATCATCATAAGATGCAAAGAAACTACAAATATGCCACGAAAATATCCCAAAAATGTGTTTGTAGCTGCACATCAGTGTGGTTGTTCCTCTTGTCATTTCTGGATTTGTTGTGTAAGAACTTTAAAAACTGGTATCAGCTCAGTTGCTTTAATCAGAAACTTTTTCAGACTTGATTCAGACTTCCAAAAAAAATCCYTGCAATTGAATCAGAAATCTGCACAAAGGGAACTTGGGTGAAGCCTCTGTTCTTCTAATTGCACCACTCAAAGTTGTGGGACATTCATGAATAAATGATGACATCAGCTCAGGATATGAAGCCCACTGCTGGAAAACAACGGGTGCTCATAACACACTAATGAACTATTTAAATTTTCAGTGGGATAGTGTGATATGATAATGACAGTCGTGATGAAATAAAKTGAATGAGAATACATTAGACACGGTAGAACAATGGGTTTTATTGTTAGAATGTAATAAAATAGGCAATAACAGTTTTTAAAAAATAGACATTGAGGTTTATTGTGTGTTTAAGCTTATGTAGACTCACAGATCTGTGTAATGTAGCTGTCTGCCTGAAGCMGTGATACCTGCTGTAACCCCACTGTTTTCAGGAGAAGTGTTTGTAGTTTGAGGACTTCTCCCATCTTTAGATCTGTCAGTCCTGTGTCCTTGAGTTCTAAAGTTGTTAGCTTCAGGGTCCTCTCCTCTCTCTCTCTTCTCTTTTTTTGTCTCCTGCTCTGTTTCTCATCACAACGTAGTCATGGTGACACCCACATTCAACCAGGGATTCACAGAATGAACAGAGGGCAGGCTGCAGGGGAAACGTGCCTGCGTAATGGTGTTGCTGAAGAGAAGTCAGCCTTGAACCAACTGACCCATACYGCAGAAAAATAATAGGACCAAAACTCTCAAAAATGAAGAGCYGGTGAAAAGAAGACACATTGAGGTGGTCTGCCTCATTTGCACTGAGTCCTCCCCTCTTCAAGCAGCCAGCTGACAGGGGATATTTTTATCAGCCCGGCGCGCACGGTGCAGAATAGGAACAAATTCATTTGTAACAATGTACTCCCAGCCAAGGACAAAATCTCAATGTGATAGACTGTAGCTCTCATTCTGCACTATCAGAATAAWATCAGTCATTTTTATTCAGGCACCTGCCCTGGCATTATCATGCAAGAGCTGTTCACGAGGCTTTTGCCACTTTGTATTCAACGAAGCAGAAAACTGAAAAGCAAAATGTGTTCCCCAAGGTCCGGACCCTACCTGTGACTTTAGAGCAGGGATATTTTCCCTCTGTCAGCATCTAGATATTTAATTTTACTTCAGCATCTTGCTGTTTTTTTGGGCGGTTTATATTTTTTACCTATATTTTTTTAAATCTGAGTTAGAAAGTTGCAAAATGAAAGTTTCTGTGTTTTCTGGTTTGATGGACAATGCATATTTTGATCTGCAATAAATCAGATTAGAAGTCAGCATGAAGATACGTGTGTGTGTGTGTGTGTGTGTGTGTGTGTGTGTGTGTGTGTGTGTGTGTGTGTGTGTGTGNACTGTGTGCAGTGTGTTACAGCAGACATCTGAAGGTTTTGTAGTGTTTTAGTTTACAGCCTGTTTATCTGTGGATTTTATACAAAGAGCTGACAGGATATCCAACCACACATGATGGAACACAATCACACACACAACTTCCTGTTCCTGTGTGTGTGTGTGTGTGTGTGTGTGTGTGAGCATGAATAAACCATGTGCTTAAGTGGTGTCACTGGGCTGCTGTGTTGGCATGTCGGCACTGTGCCGGAAAAACATGGCTATCTCTAGGGTATTGTCTGTAATCCGGCATGTAAGAGCTGCTAAATGGTTCTTATATCCATATATTATATGTACCTTTTTTGGGGGGGTGGGGGGGGGGCTTTTCCCAGAATTATAAATTCTGCTTTAACACAAGTATTAGAAAATCTTAATCCATTATTATTAAGGGCTCATGGTYCCAATTGGCTTGGCTTAATTTTCTTTATCCTCAAATGTCATGCCAATCCTTTGGTGTGAATAGTTTTTTTCTGCCTCAGTGTGAAACAGTCATGAGCAGAAAATTCAAAAAATAAAATGCTTAATTTTCTTAAAACAGCACGGTTTCATCTCTTTGCAGTGACACAAATAGTCTGATGTGCCAAGCTGACAAACAAATGATCCACAGCCGACGGTGTAATTGAAAACTCAGAGAGGAGGTGAACAATTAATCTCTCTATCTCTCACCTTTCAAATTTCCACCCAGAAACTCTTGAAAATGCTGATTATAGATTAGAGTGTTATTGATTAGATGGGCTGGAAGGAGAGGCAAAGAGGTGCAGAAGTTCCCCATCACTAATCTTTCTAGCTGTGACTGCATCTAAATAACCTGCAGAGAGGGATAAACAGGCGCATCCATCATGGGACAGCTTCTGCAGACAGAGATGGATGTCTCCACCTTCTGCCACCCTCCGCCGCACCTCTCCCTCCTGGTCAGGAATAAGAAGTGACACCGAGTCTCCGGAGGAATACCGAGCTGTAACTGTGCGGCAAAATTCCTTCTTTTGCTCTGATTTGCTGGAAAGACGGTGCAAGTGTGAGCTTTTCAAAACGGTCCCATCCTCCATCCACTTGTCTGTTTGAATCTGTAGGATTATCCATCTTGATAGGTCCTGTTTGTTTTGTCACAGAAGGAAATTGTTTTTGTGATTGTGTGTGTGCACAAGTGTGTGAACTTACCCATTTAKACTTTTGTGTTTGTGCATAAATTGATTTTAGTGTGACTTTTATTTCTCTCTCTCTCTTTGCTCCTGCACATGAGCCAAATCCCCTGTGCAGCCTGAACCCAGTGAGCAGGYGTGCCCATGCCAGCTCCCTCCTGAGGTGCCAGTCTGACAGAGATGGTGAGTGCATGCCAGGCTTCCCTCCTCGACCCTGTAGCATTAAGATTGATCCTTCCTTCCCTCCCATTCCTTTCTCTCCTTCAGTGTGCCTCTGCTTTAATGAGACTGTGAATAGGTGAAGCTCACCGGCTCCAACAGATGGCCAGAGCTGCCCTGGTTCAGTGTCTGCAYGCACACACACGCACGCACACTCAYACTCCCGCCTGTTTGTTCATGAATGAGCTTAAAGAGAGGAMGAGGCAGAGGAAAATGTGACAAGGGATAAAAAGAAAACAGGAAGCAACACCGAAAAAAGGGCAAAAACTAAGGGAAGCCGCTGCCTAAGAACGTGCAGGGAGGCAGCGGAATAAGGGCAAGAATCTGCTGAAAGAGTAGGGGACAAAAACGCTGCTGAAAAGGGAGCGAGAGCAAAATTGAATTGTAGATTGAGGGAGCCTCTCTCCTCCCTCTTTCCCTCCCTCTTTTATTTATCTCATGTGAAACCACGCCTCCCTCCTTTCACTTGTCAGTGCATCCATAACAGTGAGCTGGTCTGCACCGGGCTGTGTGGGGGGCGAGTCCAGCTCCTCACTTTGCCAACACAGCCGACCGGATCTGAACAGACCAGACGGGACTGGATGGTGGCAGACTGGCCAAACAGGTGTGTGGATTTGTATGTGTGCAGCATTGTCTGTGTGTAATGTATGACAGAGGGCAGCATGTGTATCCCCCCCTGCAAGCAGGAGTGTGCTTCTCTGCAGGACTTGCTTGAAGAGTAGCGTATGTAGAAGATACGGTGCTTTGCCCTAGTTTACACTTGAYTGCTCTGATCCATTCTGCTCTCCTTTGAGATTCGTGCATGCCGCTAACGCCACCGCTCGTTGGGCTAAGAGAGATCATACCTGTCGTCTAACGGATGCTCCACAGCATCTTTGAGTCAGAGCAGCGGTCTGACAGGCTCCAGTTTATTGAATGGAAAAAGTTGGACTTTTAAAGATAGACTCTGTCAACATGTGCAATATCTGATAGCTGCTTATTTGGTTATTAGTGCTGTTTGTTGTGTTGTTGAAAGATAGAGTTCACTTTATTCACTTTAGCAAATCAGTGTAATTTTCTAATTGTTTTATAATGTTTATAATCTTATGTGTGTGTTTCGTCGTGTTTTGTTCAAAGTCTAATATTCGAGCCTTCAATTCTTCCTACTTACTCATGATTCTTCCTCTTATCAAATAGTGTGAACGTTTAAAACTGGAGTAAAAAGATCAAAATATAACTTCGCCCTCAGGCAGGATCTGTGCAGTTTTGGATYGGTTGCCTTTAGGGAAACCTTTTTATAGAGACCGATTAGGTATCCACCAGTCAGCACTCATTCATGAGTCGCCATTTCAACAGTTGCAGCTGCTGCCACCCTGCCAGAGTCGGCACAGCTTCAGTCCACAGGGCTGCTCCCTGTGAATCTACTCACTATCACTGTTTTGTCAATATCTTCATGGGTCAAAAGGCTGTGTCATCACCGAGCGGTGGCGATTAAGAGCACTGGGGTGTGAGGATGTCCAAACAGTTAAATATATATGAGAGAGATCCGAACATTCCTGAACGCTGTTTGCAGCGATCTTGGTGGATGGGTGAGCGGATGCAAAGATGGAGGGATGGATAGAAAGTGACGAAGCTTCAGGGATCTGTTCTTTAGTCATTCATTATTTATTGCAACACACTCATGGAAGCTCTAACCCCACATCAACTGGCCTCTTTTCTCACTGAGTTTCCAGCGGACTGAGGGAAGATACTCCTACTTTGTCTACCTGTAAACTGGTCCCTAGGCATTTTAGAGCTGCATGCTGCACTCTGCACCCACATGTACATTATGTGCATGTTTTTGCCGACACACACTCSAGTTGTAATTGCTTGGCCAACCTTGACACTGTTGAGAGAAATGCTTTAAAATCACAGTTACTGATTTGCACTCTCAGATGTGCAGCAAACGCACTCCTTCTGTACAGAAATCCATTAAAAGTCAACATTTTTCAAATTAGTTTCTTCTTTGTTGTTCAAACACTGTTTTTTTTTTTTTCTGAGACACAGAAACTATACACACAATCAGGAGGGTGGTGACCTTGAGACCTGTTGATGTTTGCAGCAGCCGTGTTGAGAATACACACGAGGCCATGTGGGACCGCTGGTGAAAATGAAGCTCTTGACATGCTGTTTTTAAAAATTGCCTAAAATGAGCAGGGGGGCTGGTTGATGCAGTCGAAGGGAGACGTGCATGAATATGTATTGTATGCTAATTCTGCACGCCGTGGCTGTTGACTCAAGCTGCTGTTGAAAGCAAAGAACATGCTCCCCAATCTGCAGATTCAAAGACAAACCTGTTGTCAGTGCGACCTCCTCCCTCAGCCCTGGGGGGCAATGTGATGGCAAATACCAGCAACCAAGGTGACACTTGTCAGCAGGGTCTGCGGACCTGCAGGATGCTTGGACAGCACCGATATCTGCCCATTTTATCACCACCTTGACCTTTTATTGTCATATAAAGGATTAATTTATCTTAAATTAGGGTTATGTACAGATGTCTCTACTCACTGTTCCGCCTCAGTACGTGATGAAACTGCATCAGTTTGGCTCAGCTCTTTGCTGTTTTCTGTCCTTTAGATCTATTTGTGTCATTAGCTGTAGAATAACATCTCTTTAACTCCAAATGAACTGTAAAGAAACYGGAGGCAAATTCTGATTTAGGACCKGAACATTTATTTGCAGATAAATAAAGCCACACACCACCTTTCAGCTGGACCAAATACAGACCCTTTATTAGTCTCAGAGTATTTGGTGAGAAATCAAAAAGGACAGCACATATTTAACATCATCTTCCAGATTGAGCCACTACTCTGGRACAAAGACATCAGGCCGATAGAGGAAAGCCCTCCCTTCTTCAATGACTCAATCCTTTATACAACAGCCTACAATCTGAGGAGAAAAACTTGTCTGTCTGTTTAGTGAACAGCGGTGAGTTAACTAATCTGTCTGTCAGTACAATCTGTTCAAAATGATGAGTGTACATCAGTTAATTACAGTTTAATCACAGTGCACAAGTTATGCAATTACACTATTAGATTATCAAAAATGGACTAGACATCTCAAAAAACAGGAATGTTTGGTGCATTTAATGTTAAACATGTTAAACAGAATAAATTTTCCCTTTAGAATGATGAGGATGCTGATGAGAGATGGCTTTAATATGTATTCAGATAGCATGCTAACCAAGACTTTAATTAGCAGAGTTACTGGTATTGTTGCAATACATGTTCTGAACACATTTTTTAAAATTAAAAGCCCAGTATTTCTTGAAATAACATTTTAAACACCACAAAGGAGTATGAATTATGCATGATTTCATGTGATATTGTGAGATTTTGCAAGATGCCTTATTGCTCAGAATACGTGTTGCTAATGACTCTGAGCTACCACCACATCAAATTTTAGTTCAATATTTATAAATTTGTTTAAGTTTTCTATTACGTGTTGGCTAAGGTTGATTAGCTGCGGCAGCCATCTTGAATTTGGCCAAATCCACAAGTTAGTGAGTTTTAGATTTACATCCAATCATTGCTCTCTGAGAGTTTTATTAAAGCGAGTGATCTCTGTCTGGCCTGTCCGCCAGCTGCGACTGTTGAATTATATAAAAATAGGTTTTGTGTCATTGGAAAACTTTAAATTTATGATTCTATGCAACAAAATAAAACAAATTTAAAAGGTGAAAGATAATAATACTTGTCCTGCCCCTGAGTTGTTTTAAGTAACTGTGGCCCCATGAGAAATTTAGTTGAATATCCCTATAATGTCTCAAAATGAGCTGCTTTAAAGTCAGCATTGACCATAAACTACATTTCCCATAATGCATGTCAATTATACTATATATGGGAAAGTGGGAGAGTTCAGAATTCGAGACAGCCTCTACTCAATAGAGTAAAACTCTTCATAGTATTTCTGTACTATGTGCTCACATTTAATTCAATTAATTCAATTCAAAAATACTTTATTGATCCCAGAGGGAAATTAGGTGTTGTTGTAACTCATTTAACTAAAAACTTATTGTAGATGCTGATGGCTGTGGGCAGGAAAGATCTTCTGTAGCGGTCTGTATTACAGCGAAGTTGAAGAAGCCTCCGACTGAAGACACTTTGTCTTTCTATGACAGTCTGATGAAGAAGATGGTCAGGGTTGTCCACAATGTTCTTGATTTTATGTGTAGGGTTTTCTTACCTCATTTTATGATTTCTGATGGATATAGC